GGCACATGCCACTCTGGGGGACAGGTTGCTGGGAACGCTGTGGAAGAATAGTAACAGGTGTGAGCACTTCAGGCCCATCCAGGAGAGCCTAGTTGTAGGAGCCTGGCCTCATTGCGGGTCTATGACATGTGGCTTACCCCTAGGTAGAGAATTCCCCAGCTCCTTTGAGTCCTTGGTGAAGAAGATCTGCAAGTATCTGTTTCATGTATTGGGCCACATCTACTGGGCCCATTTCAAGGAGACCTTGGCCCTTGAGCTGCACGGACATTTGAACACACTGTACGTGCACTTCATCCTTTTCGCCAGAGAGTTCAACCTGCTCGACCCCAAAGAAACCGCAGTCATGGACGACCTCACTGAGGTGCTGTGCAGCAGCCCAGGTAGCGGTGGTACCACTGGGGATGGGGCTAGCAGTGGAGCTTCCGGAGCACAGAACCACGTGAAGGAGAGATGAGCCTCCAGGGCCAGATGGATGCACATGTGCAAAGAGACAACTGTGTGTCTGTGTGTGCGCACACATTCCCCGGGCGTGCTGGTGGCAAGGTCTGAGGGCCCCAGGCTGCGCAGAGTGTGGGCTCCATGGATGCCGCTGGAGTCAAGGCGTGTTTCCTGACTTTCCTGTTGGATGGATGAGTGCTGTTTGTAGTGAAGAGCCTTTGGAGTCATTCATTCATTCAACAAACATTTATTGGACTGATGTTTTGATTTTTCTTCTGTGGGGCTTTCCTTCTTGGGTCTTCCATGTGGCTCTTGCCCTCCCCTCCCCTCTCTCAGAGGGGCTCTGCGGCTTTGAAAGTAGCACCTTGTGAGGTGTCTCCCCCTTGCGGGGCTTGCTCTGCAGACCTGGAGTTCTGCTGTGCTTTGGGGATGGGCTTTTTACAGAGGCCCACCCTACAGCTTCCATCCCTAGCCCTTGCCTGGATCTTGGCTCGGAGCCCCTAGGGTAGAGAGGCCTGGGGTGACCCTTGAGGGCCCACACCTGCTGCTTGCTCCTGTCACCCCTTCTTGCTGCCTCCTCAGTGCCCATGGAGGTCCCATTTGTGCATAGGGGCCAGGGTAGCATCAGGACCTGGCTGAGTCCCTGTGTGGAGACAGGGCTGTCAGTGAAAGGCAGAATCTGCTTTAGTTCATCTGTTCGGTCATAATAAAAGAATTCTCTCAGGTCAGAGCCTGTGTCCTCTCGGTCTGCTCTTTCATATTGCTTTTCTGAGTCTTCCCTGAGGCTCCTTGACCTTATCCTCACTCATTGCACCTCCTTGAGTGAGAATGGAGGCCTTTCAGACCTGTTTAGATATGGCTCAGGCTCAACATTAGGGGTCCAGAAGGAGGCAGCCTGCTGCTTAGGTGGGGACTGGGCCTAAGCTCAGGCCTGGAGCTGGCCCTGGGCCCAAGAGGGCTAAAAGGGGCGGGGGCGGGAGACAGGCATGGTTATGGCTTGTTCCTCACAGACAACAAACTTGACTCTTTGGATTCTAGCAGCCTGTTGGCTGTGCTTGCCAACATCTCCTGGGATGCTCTGCCCCGACAGGTTTCCTTTAAATTGTGGGCCTTCCTGGGTTTTAGAGTTCACCTGATCTTCTGGTTCTTCACTTACTGAACCATCAGCAGCCCCCTTGGAGGCTGAACTTGAGGCTGGAAGCTCTTCTGTTAACTATGGGGATTTAGCTCCTGTAAACACCTTGACCAACCTCATCTGTCTTCTGACATTCTCAATAGCTATCTGCCACTGTCTAATGATGGCCAGAAAATTCCAGGGTACATGGAGTGTTCAGTCTACTCCCTCTCTATAGGCACCTTCTGAGCTTGAGGCAGGAAGTAGGCATGTTTGAGTCCAGCCTAGGGCTATACAGGGAGTGCCTATTTTAAAACAAAAACCCTCCCTGAACCAACTTAAAGCCTTCAAGCCATTAGTCTTAGTTCCTGGGAACAGAACCCATCAGACTATCTGAGCCTCTGCCCCTGGGTATTGCCCACCTGTCTTAGCAGAGACCCCTTGAGTGGAAACCCAGGGTGCCCATGAAACTGTTATGTCTAGGACTACTATAAGGAGCCTGTGCTGGGGCCTCAGCTTGCTGGAAGTACCAGGGGGAATCATTGGGGCAAGGGAATGCAGGAGCAAAGTGGAGCTTAGCTCATTGAGACTTCCCTCTCCTCAGCTCCCAGGGAACAAAGCTACCATAGCCCTGGCCACCCAGTGTGGGGGAGGGTGCCTAGTGCAGATAGAGCCCATGGCTGGCTGCTAGGAAGATGGGCTTCTAGCTGGAGCTGCTGTGTGGAGTCTGAGACAGAGTCTAAGTAGCATGGTATACCTCCATATCTCCGGGTGGTGGGGTTTGATCTGACAGGAAAGAGTGGCAAGACCTCCAAGCACATGGTGTTGCCACACAGCCTTCTGAAGGCTATCCTTGAAGGTATGGACATCTAAATGAGGGCTGCCACCTGCTGAGCTTTGTGCTGGGGCCCAGCTTCAATGCTCTGAGGCACACAGGGCAGTTGTGTGTGCTATCTACCATATGTAGATGGCTTCTTGCTGCCTTCTTGTCCCTGTCGTGGGTTCTCACCTGTACAGGGGGAGTTGATCCATGAGGCAGTCCTTGGATTTAGCCTTTGGTGAAGTGAGCTCACTGCTGATAGAAAGGCATGTGTGGGGCTGGGCGGTGGTGGCACACACTTTTAATCCCAGCACTCGGGAGGCAGAGGCTGGCGGATCTCTGTGAGTTCAAGGCCAGCCTGATCTGTAAGAGCTAGTTCCAGGATAGGCTCCAAAGCTACAGAGAAACCCTGTCTCAAAAAAAGAAAAGAAAAAGGAAAGAAAGAAAGGCATGTATGGAATGCCTAGAGGTCCCTAAATGGTAGCAGAAGTATGGTTGTAAGTGGGGGTTGGGAAGTGAAGGAAAGGATCCAGCCAAGAAAACCCACTCCACCCCTGAGAATGCTGAGTTGCTGTGACTGGTTGGTGAATGGAAATACAATGTGAGCAGCACTGCAGGTGAGGGCTCAGGAGAAAGACATGCCACTGGGACTGAAAGATAAGTGTAGTAGGAGAGTGACTGCACAGCTGGGCTGGCAACTGGCAACTGGAGCATCTGGCAGAAGTTTCCAAACAGCATGAAAGGCAAAGCCTGGTCTTGCCAGTGTGCAGTCTGAGGGAAAGAAGACAGAAGAGCTATCGCCCAGCAGGGAGCTAACATGTAATTACTGAGAAGCACACAGGCTATGTGAATGACAGATGACATGCAAGTTTCACTGTCAGGACAATGTGCTCCAGAGATAGAAGCCCGAATGAAGCTGGGCAGTCCTTTGAACCTCACAGCTACTAACACCTTTGGTCAGCACCCTGGCCAAAAGCTGAAAGTAGAGCAAAGATTATTTGTGAAGGACTTGCTGGCCTGTAGGACTTCAAGGCCTCACCATCTCCCCCAGGAGCTGTGTCATTCTGCCTTCAGGATGGAGACTCACCAAGGTAGAGAGAGGTTGGGTTCTGAGCATTTCTTCCTGAGGGTGCCAGGTTGTGCTTCACCCCTGGGCTCTGAAGCACCCATCAGAGTATCCCTCTGTTCTGCCTATACACTTACTGCTGGGCCAAGTTATGTCCTGAGATGGGGGCTGGCCTCTAGAGGCCTTCTATTTACTTTTTGGTAGTCCTCTCCTCATTTTAATTTCTTCAGAAGAGTGTGCAGGCCAGTAAGTTTAATACTCAGTGTGAACTCATGAGGCTTCCTTTATTTTTTTATGAATAGTGGGCTGAGCTTGTTTTGCCTTATATACAGTTAGGAGTAGGTTCCTTCATGGGCCCTAAGGGTGCAATAGTGTGCAGATAGGAAGCTGCTGGCCTACTTAGTGCCCACCAAAACTCACTGTAGCCTATATATCCAATGGGCCAGCTGGAGGAAGATTGGCTGGGGGTGGGTGGGTTGTTGTTCTTAGCAAAGCAGATGCAGGAAGAGAAGACACGGGAAGACATCTTAGCACCCAGACCCAGGTAATCAGGCACCTCTTGATCAAATCCTTACCTAAACAAACATTTCAAGCCAAAGTTAACTGAAAAGCTCAGATAAGAGCTTGGTCCCTTGTCCTCGCCAAGTACCTTCGAAGTACCACACTCCTTAGAAAGCACAGAGACCTCCAGAATTAAGCAGAGAGTGACTCTAGCTTTACTGTGTTGCTTTCTTATCCTGGGTTTTGAGCTTGATTCTGCAGAGTTGCCTGCCTCCATTAGATCACAATAAAGCTAGGCAAAAATGGCTTAGATGTCTCTGGTAAGATTGTGTGTTAACTAGGTCTTGTGCCAGGGCAGGACCTCATTTGGGTCTACTCCATCCCCAGGAAATACACAATAGTGTCAGAGAGCCCCAAAAAAGTAAAAGTAAGCTGGCATCAACTAGGCAGAGGCCAAGGATGCTGTGAACTCCTACAGTTCCAGGCCCATTAGCCCTCCCCCCAACTGTCAGTATGCTACATAGTAGAGCTCTGCCACCAGGCAGTGTGGCACAGGTGTGCCAAGTGCACTTTTCATGGTCTGGGCACTTTGCTCAGACTCTTGAGGATTGTCCAGCCTCAGGTTCCTGGCATTCAAGACATGAAACTAGACCTGTCCTCCGTATACTAGCAGCCGAGAGGTGGTAAGGCTGGGGCATCCCTTGCTGGCTACGGGAACATGGAAGAGACTCTTAGTGGAGAAAGTCCAAGTGCTAGATGACCTCAGGCATATCTGGGGTGACGCTGAAACTGCCACGAGGAAGAAGACAGCTCTCCTGTCACCTCTGCTATCTTCCTAGCAGATAGCCTTGCCAGCCTATGTCTCTAGACTGCTCTTTCCTTAACTCTGGTGGAAGAGCCCAGGGAAACGCCCCAGCCTGTTTAACAGACCCCCTTCCAAAGGTGGACCTCTTCCCTGAGCACAGCCCAGACAAGTACAAGTTGGGGACAAGAGCCACTTTCAAACATCCTGTGCCCTTTCCCATGCCCGCCCAGCCCTGACGGAGACCTTGCATCACGTGTCTTTACGGAAGGAATTTATTGTTCCAGAACTGAAATTGCTCACAGTTATTTGACAGGGGTTACACCAGATGGGGCTTGTCCATTTCTGTGATGTCTGCGAGTCCGCATGTGTCCAAAGTACAAAAGAGGAAGGCTAACAAGAGGTATTGCTTTCAGTATCCTGACTCCGTGGATAAGCCCCTTCCCACTTGTACTGCGTGGCTTGCTGTTGTTACAGGTGTTTGATTTTGCCCTATGTATGGGAATCCCAGCCTATGGTGGTTGAATGTAATAGAAGCATTAAAATCTGTACATGAGGGGAAGAGCAAAGGCATGCATGAAACCTGCCCCCCGGCCCCTCCTGCTGCTACACTGGGCACCTTGGGCCAGCTGGGAGGGACTGGCTCAGCCAGACAGAACGGAACACAGACAAAAGCTGAGGATGAAGAAAGTGAGGTGGGCTTCAGTGGGCAGCAGGCAGTGGTGTGGGCCCCTTGCCCTTGCCACCTCCAGGAGGAACCCACTGCAGAGCACACTGCTATCTCCATTTCTGGCTTTGATTTTTTTTAACTTTTTAATTTTAATTTTAAAAAAGCCCGAGGTACCCCTGCCATCCTGTATGTGAGTAGGGTGCCAGCTCAGGGTCTTCTACCCCTTCTCGCTCAGACACCAAACCAAGATCACTCTCAGCCTGGTGCAGCAGGCACAGCTGGCCAGTGCAAGCTGATATCCTGTATCCTGAGCCCTCGTGTGGAACTGGAGTTGCTGCTAAGTAGTAATAAAACAACCCGGGACAGAGCTAACCACATCGTTCTTTAAATATATATATTATATATATATGTATATGTGTATAGAAATAGCCAAGAGCAAGGAGCCGAAACACAAACTCTAGCTCTGCCCCAGCGGCCCCACCCCACACCCTTTTTCCAAAAACAACCAAGAAAAGAAAGTTTATAAAAATATCTTGCAGGAATTCTTTTAAAGTTTACAGTAGCTTGCCAGTGCTGCATCCACTGGCCGGCTCCCCACCGTTCCCAGCCCCAACGGCTCTGTCCTTAGAGGGAACCTGGGCTCTGGACCCACCCTGCCCAAGTCAGAGACAGAACAGACAGACAGATGGCAGGAGGGTGCTGCTGCTGCTCCCCCTTCCCTGAACAGAGAACAGAGACGTAAAGAAACTCAATAAATTAAAACAGCAAATAAATAATACTGGTCTCAGCCCAGCCCCCACAGTTGGCCAGCCCAGGCAGCTCTGGAGCACCCAGGTCTCTTATTTCCACTTCAGCCCGAGAGAACCATCTCAGCCGGAGCTCTGCAGCCTGACAAGGTGGAGCAATGGATGCAAATGAGAAGAGGTGGCCCTGGTGAGGCCAAAGTGTGGAAAAGGTGAGGTGAGTGGCCCAGGAGGCCTCCAAATGTGGCGTGGAGGACAATCCATTCCCACTGCTTCTCCCACCATGGTCCCCTACCCTGGAAGATCGTGGACAGGTTGTCCCTGTCAAGGGTCTGGTCACTGGGAGTCCAGGGTGGCTGGGCTAGAAGAAGAGTCCCCCTGGGAGTCAGGCCCTCCTCCCTTGGGCCATGCAGAGCTGCCTGGGAATGGGCAGAGGTGGACAGTGGGCTGGCCTCTCTGCCCAGCAGCAGCAGCAGCAGGAGGAGGGGAGGTGGTCCGCAGCAGCTGCCTTCGCTCAGCCAGTGTCCACACGCAGCACAGAGGATGGCCTCGTGGAGGTGACATGTTAACTTTTCGGGATAATTCCTGGTATCAGAGCGGAAACAAGCGATGCTGTCAGAGACAGGCAGAGACAGACCGCAAGAGAGAAAAGAGAGTAAGCCCAGCAGCCCAGCCTGTGGGCCGTGCCCTGGCCACTCTCCTTTCCTCCCAGGCTTGAAACAAGTTCTGGGCAGGCAGGTGGGGCCTGGTCCACACAGGGTGGCAGAAGGCCACAGTCAGTGCTGTGCTGTGCTGTGCTGTGCTGGGGAGGGACTAGTGTCTAAGGCTGCTCACGGTGGGCGGCGGGCGGCCCCATCTTGGCCATGTCCTTGCCCATCGGGTACTCGGTGTCCCCTCCAGGGCCAGCGGCCGCGGAGTCACCCAGGGGGCCGTGGGCACTCCGCTTGGCGGGTGTGCTGGGGGCCTGGGCCGCCTGCCCGTTCTTCTCGTCTGAAAAAAGTTGTTTAATTACGTCAAAGAAGTTACTCAATGGGGTGCCTGGGTACACAGAACAGAAGACACAAAGAGAGAAAAGAAAAGAAAAAAGTGGGAAGGGGAGAGAGGGAGGGAAGGAGAGAAAGAACAAACAAATGAACGAAGGGGCCTTGACAAGAGAAAGAAAAACCCAATGAAATGAAGTCAGATGGAATGGCAGAGCAAGGATAGGCGGGTAGCAAGCAGGGCGGGCAGGCGGCCAGTGGGGTCCCTATAGTGCCAGGAGCAATGCAGTGGGAAAGGCTGCTGTGGAACAGACCCTGGGACCCTCCGTACCTTCAAAGTAGATGGGTCCTGGGGGCTGCTTCTGAGAACTGGGGCCCAGGACTGGCAGTGAGATTCCTCCCTCACCCAGTGTAGCCCTGAGTCTTCCTTCCCAAGTGTTAGGGCCACGTAAGCTGTCCAACCCCAGGTATAAAAAGAGCAATGGAAAGACCAGGGCTGAGTCAGACCCTGGGGTTGGCTGCTGCTCTGTGGGTAATGATTGCTCTCAGAAAGGGTGGCCAGAGCCAGTGAGCAGCAGCATACAGGGAGAGCCTGGCCCTGGCTAGCACAGACAGTTTAGCAGCAGACAGACAGGATGAGTGGTCAGCGGGCAGGCAGGGAACTGGGGACAGGCAGCCACAGCTGGGTTTCTGGTCCTGGAGGGCAGAAGTAATGGGTGACCCTCCACCCTCCTGAGCCTCTGCTCACTACCCAGCTGTGCCAATTGGAGACTTTGGTTCCATTCCCTCGCCTGACATCAATCTGAGCCCAGTGCTGCATAACCCTCCTCTTCTGACTGGCATGGTCTGTGGACAGGTGTCATCTTGCCCTCCAGGGCAGTGCTACATATAGGCAGTGCTTTTATATATAAGATCCTTGTTGGCCTCAAGCACAAGGACCTTTTCCTGCTCTGAGCATTGAAGTCCCTCCTCAGCCTGGCCTGATTGTAGAAATGGGGAGCAGGAAGTGGTTAAGACCACTCTGGGTAGCAGATGGGGCCCAGGGGTGGTGGGCGGTCCACTGCCTGTGCATACACAGGGGACCCAGTACAGTCCAGGGACAGTGGGACAGCACTAATCAGGGTAGGCTGTGGGGGCACGCAGTGGAGGTGACAGGCTGGGGGCCAAGTGAGCGTGAGGGGTTCTTACCACATTTGGAAAGCCGCCCCGTCATCACCTCCATACAGTTAGTGTTGTCTGGAGCACAGAATGGAAAGAGGGAGGGAGAGAGTAAACAGGCTGCCCACCTGCAGCCAGCCACCGTGGGACAGGGCGGGGCCTGAGAGGGCTGAGCCAGGAGTCGACAGAGTTCAGAGGGATTGGGGCTCATAGAGGAGCAGGGCTTTGAGTAGTCAGGGCCCTAGAATACTGGCTGGCAGGAAGAGAGGAGCTGAACCTGCAGAGACAGGGTGAGGGATCAGGCAGGCCCAGGGAAGTGTAGAGTTTGGAAGGGGCAAAACTGAGAGCTAGGATCTAGGTCAGAGCAGGCCTGTGACTACAGCTGGGTAGGAGCCAGGCAGATAGTGGAATGTCACCTTCAGTAGCTAAAGCCAGAAGACTGGGTGTGGTCTTTTCCAGTCACAGGCCTTTCTCCCCTGGGCTAGATAAACCTCTTGCTCTAGCAAGGTTTAACAGACCACCTACACAGTGCCTGCCCCTCACCACCCACTGGCATTAGACCTGGAGGGGGTGTCCATGGGGCCTACTCATTAGAGGTTCCCAGCCTTCTCTCCCTGAGTGGGGTCCATGTCTGGATGGTCACCAGGTATCCTGGAGGTCTATTTCTGTTCACCCCCAACAGTGTCTTTGGAGCCAAGCTCATTGGACTAGGGCCCAGGACACAGGGACCCAATGGGAAGGTATGGGAGGGGCAGGCTGCCAAGAGTAGGTGGTGCCCAGCAGTCCTAGGGTGGGCTCCAGCACTGACAGAACTGGTGAGTGGGTCCTGTACATGACACTGGTGGGGTATGACAGAACATCTTATAGGACAGGGCATGGAGAGCTGTCCAGTACTCAGGAGTCCAGCATAGTTGCAATGTCCGAGTGATCACTATGAGCAGAACCCCAGCAGCATGCTAGCCTCTGGTTTCCTTGCCTTGAACAGTCCTGGCCTGCTTCTGCCTCTGCCACTGCCTGACATTCCTTGATCTCAATTTCCCATTATTGTTGCTATTCCCAAGCATGCTTTCCTCTTTCCAAGATGAAAGCCTAAAGCCCCGGGAAGACAAGACTGACCGTAGTACAAGTGCCTACAAGAGCATCTGACCCTGCCTGCTCGAGAAGAGAGGAGAGCTGAGCCCAGGGCTGCTGGGCAGCCCCACCTGCCAGGAGATGATAAGGCCCATGTTGGGAGCACATCTATAGGCGATGGGATGAGGATGGGATGAGATGAGGAACAGGTGGAAAGGACCTACACACACACGCGCCCACACACACACACAAAGAAGTGCCTAATAGGTAGGTGTGCACGCAGGTGTGCACACGCGTGCATGCACACACACATAGAAGTGACTAACAGGCGCGCGCGCACACACACACACACACACACACACACACACACACACACACACACACGAGGTGACCCTAAAAGGCCCCAGCTGTGGAAATAGTAAGCTGGGAATAGGGCTTGGAGAAGCTGGCCCTGAGCCACATCCCATCTCTTCTAGACTTCTCAAGAGTGTCTTAAGTATCCCCATGCCATTCACCATCAGTTTGCCCCTTTGCTAAAAGATAGCCCAGACTATATCCTAGCTATTATTCTGACACACAGGTCCCATGTGTATGCCTGTGCATAGGGCCAGACACACCGGTACTACCTCCTCCCATAGACACCAGCAACCCAGATACCTTTCCTAGCACCCTGCTGGGATCAGATCCCCCATCCTGCTTAAGGCAGAGCTCTGGTGGTCAGTGGCATGAGGGTGGCAAGTCCCAGCCACTGTAGAGTGCTACAGGGGGAGCCCCAAGGATCAAGGCCTTGGGCCTTAGTCCCAGAGCCTGCTCAGGCTGCCCTCATGTCCAGCTGCCTGGGTGCTGAGCCTGCAGGCCTGTCCGGAGCCTGGCCAGGTGAGTGGCCACGGGAAGCCCTTCTTAGGGCAAGCCTGGCTCCTGCAGAAGGCCCTGCCCGCAGCCCCTCCCCTCCCCGGCAGCAGGCCAGACACCTTACCTGCCAGCGTCAGAGGCTACTCTCGTAGCTGGTGGCCACCTTCTGGCCCTTAAGCCCAGCACCCCAGCTTAGTCCTGGCGCTGGCGGGGGTGGTTCTACGGTGGACAAGAGGCGCCTTTCAGTGTGATGCAGCCCACCATGCCCGGGGAGGGGCCCTGCTCCCTGAGGGGTGCAGCACTGCTCAGGGCAGGGAGGTGGGCATCCGTCAGAGTAGGAGGCCATGTCAGTCCTCATACCTCCCATCCAAGCAGCACTAGCCACAGATGCTATGCCAAGCCCCCACCTCACCTGACAGGTGCTGGGCTGATGGCTGGTCATGGGTGCTCAGCAGCTGGGCCTGGATGGTCTCCACCACCCTCTTGAAGCGACGACTGGGGCCTGGGGGAAGAGTGGCAGTCAGGGCACTGGAAGGACCAGTGGGGGTGAAACACAACTACCAAGTCGGCTGGCTTACCTGAGAGCAAAGTGAATGTGACTGAGTAGATGCCATTCTCCTTCTGGGCCTCTCCACCCTCAGTGTAAGTGATATCCACCTGGAACTTGACTGGCTTCTGGAATACTGCTGGGCCCCCTGTTGCTTTGTATTCAGCCCGGAAGCTTGTCTGGGAGATGACGCTGTGGCTGAGGCTGGGTATCTGTGGTGTGCACAAGCTGGACATGAGCGCAGCTTACCAGCAGGCCCCACTAGCCCACTCCTGGACCTATGGGAAGGAGACCTCGGAAGAGCCAGCACTATGTGGGCACCAGACACAAACCCAGCCTTCCAAGCCATCTCCAGTTTTGAGAACCAAGTATAACACAGAAGACTAACAGAGAGAAACTTACTTCAGAGCCCCCTTGCTCAGTCAGCCAGGGTGCACACTAGCCACTACCCTGGGTTTCCCACAGAGAAGCTTACACTGGAAGGGGCTAGATGACCTTACAACCCTGAGTCAGGAGCATCACAGTAGTGAGCAGGAAAGCTAGGAACCTCTGCGAATGTGGGAGGCTGTGTGTGAGTTCACAGCACTGAGGGCTGATCACATGGACTGAAGTAAGGGCAAAACTAGAAAGCAGTCAGGGTCACCACAGTATACAGGACTAACCTCCATGGGAAAGTCCATGGGGGCCCAGACTGGCCTGGTGACCCAGGGGCCTTGGGAAGGGATGTAATGGATGGAGGTGAGACGTGCTAAAGAGACACAGCAGGCCAAGAGTCTGGCCAACCTCAAGTGTAAGCACTCCCCTGGCTTGAGGCTTCTGGCAGACATTCTCAGCTGTCCTCAGGGTACTAAGGAAATCTTTCAGCTGTAGCCACAGATATGGTAGCCTAAAGGACTCCAGGGCAGAATGTCTGATGAGGCAAGGGCACCTTGGAGCAGGACCTATCTTGGAACAAGGCAGGCACTTTCTGATGGATGACCGTAGAAAAGATGACTTCCCTGAGCAAAAGTCAGTGCACTGAGTCCTGAGTGGGAGGTCTAAGCGAAGGAAAGCCCCAGAGAGGCCTAGCCCAGCATAAGGCAGCCCCAATTCTGAGGTTACTCTGGGAGTCCATATCCTGGCTGGAAAGTCTCATCTCCAGTCTTTGGGTCCCTTTCTGTTTCTCAGAACCTAGAGATGCTCATGTTCTCTGAGAACCTCAGCCTCTTCAGGAAGTTTGGGGGCCACTGGAGGTCACAGACTTCAAATAAAGAAGTGGTATGAGAAACAGACTATGGGCTTCAAGATGTTAACTGAGTGTTATCAGAGTCCACACAGATCCCTCAGGTCACAGTGTCTTTCAGATTCACATGGCCACCTGTGCTTCACCCTCAGTCTCAGGGAGGCTTCACCTGAAGACCAGCACACCCTAGCCATAGGCAGCTCCCCACTCCCAGAGGTGCTGTGCAGTTCCCAGCAGGCTGAAAGCCTAGGCAGACAGTGGTGGTCCTGGCAGACGCACATAAGGACAGGTGGGTGCCCAGAGTTAGTGTGAACGAGAGGTCCTGTGTTCTGCCTGGAAGCTGGGCCCATAGGTGAGGGTGGCTGGCTCTGCCGTAAACTTACCGACAGGAAGGCATGGACGATGTCAGCCTTGATGGAGCTCAGGGGCTTGTCCTTGATCACCACAAAGATCTGTTCCTCCTTCTCCAGGTTAATGAAGTTCCCGAACCATGATTTCTTGGCCAGCCTAGGCAGAGCAGAGGCTCCAGTGATGAGAGTGTGATGCCTGGTCTGCTCCTGTAACCCCCATAGGGGCTAGGGCAGTAGAGCCTCCCTGCAGAGCAGTGCTGAAGCTCCCAGCAGCCCAGAACAGCTCTGCAGCCCCAATGCTAATAACCACACCACTCCTAACTCCACAGTCCAACACCAAGGGCATCCCAACTCTAAAACTTAACCCACAAACAAAACCTAACCAAATATCTTTCACTGTAACAATAAACCAAAATCCTTAACCATAACCAAACTCTCCTAACTATAACCCCCAACTTTTTCCCAGCATCCATAACCTAGACCTATATCCCAGCCTGAACCCCATGTCACTAACCCAGACCCCATGTTTTTTAACACAGACCCCTTGTCCCAACCTTTACCCTATAACTCTAACCCCAATCCTATGTCCTTCACCATAAATCCACCCCAACACCAAACCACACATCCTTGACTCCTACAGAGATGTCTGAGTGGCACTTGCTAGACATTCCACTGGGTAGAGCAGGGGACAGGGGAATGTCTAGGTCTCATCCTCTTTTGGGTCCCTAAATTTTGGAGAAGCCTGCTTTCCAACTTCCTGGCAGAAATGTTCCCAGTTTGTTGCAAGCTGGGGCATGGTGCAGAGTCTGGTAGGGTTCTCTGGGGTGAGGTAAAGATTATGTGGTTCCACACCGCAGCATGTAGAATAAGATCCATGGCAGACCTTAGGGTCAGTTTGGGAAGGGCCTGCCCATAGCTCCTACTGCCACAGCCTCATCTAGCTCTGGCACCCATCGCCCACCTGAATACAGGACTTGTTTTCCTCCCATGGTAGCTTGGCCTAATGCTAGGCTACCACTCCACTGCTGCCCAGCTGGCCTCAGCTGTCTGGCAGGATACAGCAGTACCACCCCAGCCCCACTGCGACACTCCTCACTGCATACACCGTCTCCTAAGTTGTGAATACTTTAGTCTGAAATAGAATCCCTCAGCTCCAGAGCCTGGGAATATCAGTCCAAGGGGACAGAAGGCAGATATCAAGCTTCCCAGTCTCACCTGCACGGTCCCACCAACTAAATGTGCATCGAAGCTCTTGCCACCAACAGCTGCAGAGACGGCAGCCCACCCCACCACCATGGGCAACTAGAAGATTCTTTCCTAGCCCTAGAGACCACCACAGCCTGACACTTGGCTTGCAGCCTTGAGACCAGAAAGCAGAATGCCCGGTCAAGTCATTGCTAGATGCCTGTTGAAGAGATCCTAGGGGAGGCTGAGCTGTAGGCTATCTCATGGCAACTCCCAGTCAACATAGTCAGGGAGACTTGGCTGCAGTGGGGGCACAGTCAGCACCCCCAGTCAGATGTACCCCTGTACAAGTGACTCAGAGAGTCTAGAAATAGGGAATGGCCAGAGAAGCACTGGTGGTCAAGGATAGTGTTAGCATGTGGCCAGCATGAACAGGAATATCTATGCTGGGCAGCATAGAGCCTCTGTTAACTTGGGCTGGGTATAGGTTTTCCTGGCTGTGTGACCCCTCCCTTCTTTTGCCTCTGTGGCAGAAACAGACCCCCAGCCCCTCCATGCTTCTGCTGTCAGTTCTGGGTGTATGTGTCCCTCATGTAGACCCTTGTCCCCCCTATACCCAAGGCCCACACCTGGGCCTAGAGACCAGCAATGCTTGGGATATTTCAGAGCAGCCAAACGGTTCTAGAAAACACAGGTGGAGTTTCTCATGAAAATCACAGATGCAAGCAGTAATACTTGGCTGATGTGGCACTAGAGGCATGGCCATGACTTAAAAAAAGAAAAAGCCAGAGGATCAGAGGGGATTGTGTGGTCCAGGGTGACACTGTCCACAATAGTGCTCTGGTGTCCATATTGCTGGGCCCAGATGCTAACCTGGGCACACAGAGTTCTGGGTGTGGGCCATAAAGGTGCATGAGAGAAGGACCTACATCAGTAGGCAAAAACCATTCAGCTGGGTGGGCCCCAGCTTGCCAGCTAAAGGGAAAGAGAAAGGCTTTGGAGGAGAGAATTCTATAGATTGCTGTAGCTCCCATGGCTTCCAGCCAGCCGGCCTGACATGGACAACCAAGGGAGTCAGTTCCTGAGATACCCTTCCTCTCCTCTCCCAGTTATAGTTCTGTGGAGGTTCATGACCAGTGAGGGGCTGGCCGGTGAAAAAAAAATGAGGGTGCTAAGCCCTTCTGAACCACCATGCAGGGCTTGGGGATGGGGGGTGTGGGGAAGCTTCCAAAGGGTCTTGATCAAGGAGGTGGTGGAAGACCAAGGCTTTCTCCTTGGCCTTACGCTACTGTCACAGATTTTCTACTTTTCTTTAAAAAAAAAAAAAAAGGTATTTCTAAGCAGATCTCTAAGACCTTTGATCAGAGCAACTAAAAGGCCTAACCTAAACAAAAATGGTCCTATGCTCCAGAGCCTCAGGGCAGTTGTGGTTATGGAGCCTCTGACCTCCACCTGGCCAAAAAGCCTGCGCAGCGATTACCTCTGCAAACGCTGCTCCCGGTGGGTTAGCACACAGCAAGCAACCTCCCTCGGGTCCTTACTGAGTGCTGGCAACACAACTCCTCTCCGGCCACTCTGTGAGGTTGTGTAGCTACAACATCTATTCCATGCTCCCCCCATCTCAGTCATATGGCATTTTCATGCTTTCACACCAGTAGCTACCAAGGAAGCGACTACCTGGAGGCCACTGTTAAAGAAACAAAGAAGCCACACCGTACAGGCATTTTGTGTTTGCAGGGTGGCAACACTGGGCCCACCTATTATATTCCCTTTCCTCCAGCTGAAGGCCAGGGGTACTCTGCCTGTCCCAGGCCTCTGCCAACTCCCCATCCCCACAAGCATCACAGGTCGACCCCGTTTCTCCTTGTGTCCAAACCATCCCTATGACCCCTTAGAGTCCTAGGAAGTCCAGGGCACAGTCACTAGCCCCTAGCCAACTTCAGATGCCTCTGATCAGAGTTAGGACATGTCCTGCCACTGACATTCCTCATGTGGACAGGACCTAAAGTCCATAAAAATTCACGGGCTAAAGCAAGCCCAAGGGGTTCAGGCCAGAGACCACTGCCCAGTGGAAAGATCCTAGGTCCCTCTCTCACCAGCCTCAGGCAAAGCCACTTACTCTGGAGAGGACTCTGGGGTCAGGTTGGACATCTCCTCTGGCGTGGGAACTGTGTACAGGAAAGGACAAGGGCAAGGTTGGTGAGAGCTGCAGATTGTACCCATTTTGCCCCTGGCCCAGTGCGCTGTCCATGCTCTGGTGCTGAACCCCCACTGTGCCTCTCCAGGCCCCAGCTGAGCAGAGAACTGGCCAGGCCAGGCCTGTAGACTTTCCTGACTATCCAACAGGCCTCGCTGAACATAGCTGCTGCTCAGATGACAAGTGAGGGCACAGGGCAGACGTGGAGATTTGTGGAGAGGCCCATAGAGCTGCCAGCTGCAGGTACACTCCATCTCAGCTGTGCACGACCTCCTATGCAGATCCTACCACCTAACCGGCCCCATATCTGTGCTAACCTTGCAATTTCCGGCGGTGGAAGCGAGGTGAGCCCAGGAAGCTATTCTTGATGGAGTTGAGCCGTGTCCGCCAGGGCACCCCTCCAACACTAGGACTGGATGGTGGTGTGGGGTTTGGTGTGCCAGCTGGGCTCTCCTTTGGCGTGTGGACAGGCGTCCCTTTGGGGGTAGGAAGGGGACTACCCCTTGGTGAGGGGTGAGGGGTCACCTGTATGGTGGGGACAGATTTGGTGTTTGATTCAGTCCCAGTTGGCAGGAGCCGAGCAGGAGCCGGCAGGGTGGGGGGCCCAGGGGACAGGGCCAGTGGAGAGCCAAGGCTGGCTCCAGGAGGCCGGGTCTGGGTGCAGGCCGGGAGCGGATTGGACTTGGTGCCCTGCAGTGGCTTGTCAGTCAGCTTGGCCTTGCACGGCAAGGTCTGAGTCTTGGGGTTGGGCCGCAGGGCGGCCTGTGGAGAGAGGATGTGTCCAGGCCGAGAGGTGCTCCGACAAGCTTCGGGCTCCGAGGAGGTGGCCGGGGGACAGGCCACATAGGGAAGCTCAGGGGGCAGAGGGGGCAGGACAAATTTCCTAACAGGCTACAGTGGCGCAGAGTAGGAGCAAGGGGGGTGCCGCAAAGTGGAGCCCATGCATCCCCCCCATCCACATGCACACACAGCAGCCAGGACCAGCAAAATCATTCAAGCAGGACCCCAAGCAGGACCAGAGGGAGGGGGCAGGCAAGGGGAGGGTTTGCCACAAAAGAAAACATGTGACACACAGGAAAACGGACAACACAGAACAAAAGAACATGCAGTTAGCCAGAGCCCAGCACCAGAACAGCAGCCAGGAGGGTGCCCGCAAAAGATGCCTGTGTGCAAGGCAGGGACGGGGGCCTCTTCCCAGGCTGTGGAGGCCCTGTTCCCCACCCCGGGTACTTTGGCTGGGGTTCCTTTTATTTCCTGAGGCTAGCCCTGTAACCTGAGACTTAGGTGGGTTAGTCACTCACCCGAGGACTGCTGAGAGGACTCGTAGAAAGGCCTGAGGAGGCGCCGCTGATGGAGCGAGACCTGGGGGTGCAAAGCAGAGTGCTGATTTAGCAGAAGGCTTCCGTGTTCCTGTCCCCTAGGTGGCCTTTTCAGGAGGCTTGTGGTCCTGGCCCAGAGCTCCAAGGCTCCTACCATGCCCAGGAGGGTTTCTGGAGGCACAGCTGTGTCGGGGATCATTCTGCTGACCTTGGTAGTCACCACCAGTATGCAGCCATGGTTCCTGGGGTTCCTTCCCACTCAGACAAGCCACCCACCAGCGACCCCAGCCCAGGCACAGGAAAAGGTACTAAGGGGCTCTCAATGAAAGTCCACAGACACTGTGTGGACAGAGGTGCAAGGACACGCAATGGAGGATTCCCACGAACTAGATACAACTTCATGCATTCTGTGATCCTGGCACCCAAGACCAGCCTCTCCAAGGCTGTACTGTACACCGTCCAGTATGTGGCTTGCTACCTGGGCACTTGCTCGGTCCTTTTATATCCACAGCTACCCACAAGAGAAGCCCAGGGCCATCCCACAGCCTTCATCTCAACCCACTATTATCCCACTGGGCTGAAGACCTGGCCTGCAAATAGCTAGGTGCAGGTGCTAGCCCAGCATGTTCACTTCTACACGGGTGAATTGCTGCCCTTCAGGTCAGAGACCAGGACTTCCTTCCAGCTCACCATGAAAGGACACAAAAGCACTGGTTAACCCTTGGCAGTGGGACCTGCCATCTTTGGAGGGAAAAGTGAGGATGGGATGCAGCCACAGGAGAAAAGAGGACAGAAGAGCCCTAGACCAGCCTGCACTGCTCTGGCCTGCCCACCACGAGCCAAACCATACACAGTGGGTCTCTGGTCCCCACCTGGGCAACTCTAATCTCTATTGGTTTCTTGCCAGCTCCTAGAGCACTTGTGACCAGAGCCAAGTGTCCATGATCTCCAAGTCTCTCCCCCCACTGCTAAAGGAGCCCAAGAAACAATGGAGACCTATGGTCAGGGCAGCATGCCTGGGTCAAAGTGGTACCAGGCTCCCCACTGGGACAAAGGTCCAGGTGTACAGCTAGGAGCCAGGCTCTGAGAAGATGGAGATGGCCATACCAGGAGATGGGAGAGGGGATACAGGCATGAGCAGTGAGGCCTAGGCTTTGATCCCACCATGGCAGATAGGAGCACATTGCTGGGCACAAGGGAAGAGGGAAGCTGAGGCATAAGCATGGGAGCCAAATCAACCTCTCCTCAGTTCAGCAATGCTGGAGTTGAGCTGCAGTTTGTCTGAAGTAGGAAAGATGACTCCAGCCCTGAGGACAGCCGAGTGGGCAAGAGGCAAGCAGGAAGGGGCACAGGCAGGTACAGGGATAGTGTGCTACTAAACAGGATGTGGCCCAGCCAATCAGCAGCATGAGTGGGCAGTAGATGTTACTGGCCTGCAGTCACCTGTCAGGGGCATGGGACACTTAGCCATTTAATCTAACTGGCCAGTCCTTGGAGCAAAAACATCCAAGGCCACTTGGACAAAAGAGTGACAGAGGTGGCAGGCCTATACCCAAAAGGCAGATAGTTCTGTTCAGGGTGCAGGGTTGTGCCCCTGTGCTGGCCCTATGCAAACCTGGAGTATGTGGCCCTCTGCCTTGGGCTGGCCGTGGGCCTTGCCCCAGTAACCCCACCCTTCCTTGACTCCTCATAGCTGGCCAGGCTTTTCCCCTGACCTGCTGGATGGTTCCATTCCCAGAAAGGAGAGGTGGAAGTGTCTGTCAGTAAGCCCTGCCTCCAGGCCTGCCTCTGTCTGCCTGGCTCAGGCAGGAGTCCTGCATCTGGGGCTGGGAGGACGGGATGGATGGGCAGGGTGTATACCTGTCTTCTTTGCTGAATTGGGGATGGGCTTCAGCGATATCCAGGCTTTTACTGAACACTGCTTTACTATAGCAGGAACAAAGCGAGAAAACAGAAGTTACTGCCCTGGCCACACGCACGCAGGTCAGCTGCTGGGCCATGTGCTGCCTGGCCACACCGAGCAAGCCCTCCAAGCATGGCCCGCCAACCCCAGGCCACTTTAAGGAGATGAAGAGAGAGGAAGGGGACAGGAGCCACAGCACAGCCTGCCCTGGTGACCTTTTGGGTAGGGAGGCAGCCAAGCTTAGAGATATCTACACTCACCACCAGCCACAGGATCCCTTGTCCCAACCAGTGGTCCCATCAGAGCCCAGTGTCAAATGGCAAAACCAGAGCAGAAGCAGGCCAGATGTGCCAGGACAAAGGGCCTTCCAGATTCCCTTGGAGACAGCCACCACCCCACTGATGGGCCCACGCTGTAGCGCCCAGGGTGCTATTAGGCCTGGAAGGTGTCTTAGAAGCCAGGGAGGCTCACTCAGGCTTTAGATGCTACTGGCCCTCAGCTACCCTTTGGGGTTCAAGGGGGGCCAGGGAGAGGCAACCATCTCTTGAGTAGATGGGGTGTGCTAGAGCTATTGGGAGAGTCCTGATGAGGTGAAGCATAGCCACAAGAGGCAGAATCCCAGAGAAGGGCTAGGTAAGAGCATGGCCAAGAGGGACCCTTGTCGTCCCGCCTTGTTGCCAGAAGCCGAGTGACTGTGTGGCCTGGCTGGCTGGAAAGTTGGAAGAAGTTTCTCAAGGAGTGAAACTTTGAGGCTAGAGCATGAGTCCGCCCAGATCCATGGGGAGGACCTAGCAGGGCAGAAATACCTGCACACGAAAGTCAAGGCAGAGGATGCTCTATCTTGATGACTACCTAGCTGCCTCATGGCTCCCAGTTCCTGACAAATTCGGGGCAGACCTGGCCTGCTTCATTCAGCACGCAACCTCCCAGCAGGAAGAATGAGCAGTGGGTGCTGTGTGCAGAGTCCAAGGCTGACCTCTGCTGGCAAGGCCTGTGGGATCTCCCAGCTCCGGGTCTGTTCACAGATGACCAAAACCCCACTCAGCCAGGGCAGACTTTGCAGGCTCTAAGTGCCCTTCTACTCATCTCTCTCCTGAGTTATACATCTTGCCCACAACACTGCTACTGGCTACCAGGGAAGCTCTGATAGGCAGGGGGCTCTGAACAAAGCTGTAACACACCACAGCCCAGCTCAATACAGATCAGAGGCAGCCAAGCATCAGGAAGGGACAAGCCTGCAGATCAAGGGGCTCTGAACATAGCTGTACCATATCACAACCCAGCTCAAACAAGAACAGCCCAGCCAGGTACAGCCCAGCTCAGCCTAGTCCAGTCCACCCCAGCCAGCTCAGTTCAGCCCACTTCAATTTATTCCAGTCTAGTTCAGTAATGCCCAACTCAACTCAGAAGACTCCCCAGCTTAGTACAGGCAAGACCAGCTCAGTACAGATCAGTTCATTCCAGTCTAGCCCAGCTCAGCCCAGATCAGATCAGCTAGCCCAGTTTAGTCTAGGGCATCCCAGCTCAAACCAGACCAGACCAGTTCAATCTATCCCAGCTTAGCTTAGTCCAGACCAGCACAGCTCAGTCAAGGCCAGCACAGCTCAGTCAAGTCCACCCCAGCTCACCCCAGTCCATTTCACAGTAGTCCAGCCCAATTCAGTCCAGTTCAACTGAGTTCAGTATAGCCCAACCCAGCTCAGTTGAGAACAGTTCAGCTCAGCCTAACCCAGTTCAGTCCAGTCCAGTCCAGCTTAGTCAGATCAGTCCAGTGCAGCCCAGTTCAGCCCATGCAGCCAGCCAGCATGCTTAGCACAGTGAACTCCAGCCCAGTCTAGTGGCCTCAGTCCAGATCCCAGGGACAGTGGACAGAGACAAGCAAGGCCAGACTAAGGGTAGGAGGCTAAGAACCTGATGCTACCCTGGCCAGGGCGATAGGAAGGAGGCTTGGGCCCCAGGCAAGCACATACCTCTGGCCGTGCTGGGCCATTTCAATGGCTCTCCGTGCAGGCACCGGGGAGCCACCATCTGTTACACTGAGCACTTCCATGGACTTGCGCTCAGGTCGTCGCTTGCCATGCCGGTTCAGCATTGGGGAGTCCACACGCTTCCGGGGAGGGTCTGTGTGCAGACTGAGGTCAGGCTGTGCCAAAAGCCAGGAATAGGGGCACAGGGTGGGCTGGAAGCTTTGTACCTATCTCATTCCTGGGAGGCAGGTCCTCATCCTCATGGCTGGGATACCGTTCTTTCCGGTCCAGGAGGAGGAAATAGATCATCTTTTCCTGATTCTCCCTGCAGCAGGTGAGAGGTGCCAAGAAGGTGGGCATATGGTGACATGGAATACCTGACAATGGGCCTGTAGGAACTCTGGCTGTGGTCACCTGCCTGGGACAGTCCACAGGGATGCTCCCTAGAGAAGCTAGAACTTGGGGCATGAAGTCCAGTGACTAAACCAGCCCTACCCCCACTCCAACATACTCCTCAGATAGCAGGTCCTGCAGCAGCTTGTTGCGGTCTCGGAAGCAGCCCAGAGAATGCATGCTATCCAACACATCGGGGTCAATGTCTTCCAGGCTGGGCAGTGAGCGGATCTGAACCTTGCGTGGGATAGGCTGTTCCGGCTCTGGCTCATTCTTGCCACCTCTGTGGACGACAGGGCACCCAGCAGCAGTCACTCATTTCTGGCCTATTCTGAAACCATTCCACCCACCCTGAAGTGGCCAGGAGGGTGAGAGATCACCCTCACGCGAGCCCAAGTCCTGCTGCTGTCCCTGCACCCAGCCCTGCAGACCTCCTGTATCCTGCTACAGCCGCTCAGGGAGGTGGAGAGTGAGGCCAGGGAAGCCCCCGAGCTGGCTGGCACCCTCCCCCCTTCCTAGCAGGCCCTGCAGGCCACAGCAACAGGCAAAGCAGGCGTTAGTGGGCAGAGAAGCTACTTACATATACCATATGTGTTTCTGAATGTGCTCTAGCTACAAGGAAAGAGAAACAGGGGGTTAGTACCAGGGGGAGCCCACGTTAGGAGGTAGGGGGCCAGAGCGGGAGAACAGGAGAAGGCAGGGCAGGGGCTGCATTCCCAGAGGCCCAGGCCAGCATCCCTACCCCTGCCCCACCCCAAATGCAGAGGAAATAAAGCCAGGAAAAAAGAGCCTGGGGGTCAGGGGTTCATGGAGAAGAGAGGCAAGGAAGCAAGCAGTGCCCTGGGACACCTGTCCTGCCTGGTTGGGCCCTCCCAGATCAGAGGGCATGAGTGAGGAACCAGTCCAGGAGGCAAAGCCAGGCGGCTGGGAGGGGCTGGGTGCAGGTGCGGGCAGGAGGCTGAGGTAGCCCTCTACACCTTTCTCTCCATCCTGACTCAGAGACAGGGATAACTAGATTTGTGGGAGAGGGCAGATGATATCTATTCTAGAAAGGCTAGCCCACAAGGCACCTTGCTTCCTTTACATGGGCAGATGCTGTGTGGTTCAAAACCAACTGCTGGGGCTTCCCTCACACCTTTTCCCACGTCATAGCTGATGGAGCTGTGAGGCTTACACTGCCAGAAGGCATTCTACAAGGATGTCAGAGGGCAGGATGGCAGTAAAGGGGAACAAACTCTCAACCACTCACAGGTTCCCAAAGATTTGTCAGAGTCCACCCACCCAACCACACACACACACACACTTGGGCGCACACACAGCTGTGTACAGATAACACACACAGGCACCTTACACACCTATGCACATTTGCACCCACATACTGGTGTGTATAGATGACATACACCTGAGGACTCACCCTGCACACAGCTGGGCACATGCTTCCCAAGTTGGGCATATACTCTCCCTCACAACAGCTGGTAACAGCCCCCCAACACACACCTAGATATATACAACTATATGTGTAAATAACACACACATGGGTTCACTCACCCTACATGTAGCTGTGCAGTCTCACACACAGCTCCCCCATATACACCTAGGCACACATGCTAGCAAACATGAATCCACGCTGGCTCATATCCACCTGGCATGACACAGAGACTCATCACTATGCACGTGGCATGCCTGCAGGACACACACAGGCACAGGTGGGAAGCCCCACCCTCAGAGACATTTTTCTCCCTAAAGTGCCCAGGAGCAAGTGCTAGAGATGGAAGCTTGGCCCCACCAGGACAGAGCTGTCTGAGGAAAGGACAGGTCCAGAGATGGTGTGAAGAAGGGACAACAGGAATGCAGCAGGGCCTGGCTCCCCGTGGGTACCCAAGTTCCGGCTAGGGCAGAGGAATTAAGGAGGACGCACCGTGAGGCGCCGAGCTGCATCCACCTCAATCATGCCACGCAGGAGACTCTGGCAGTCTGGTGGGATAAAGTGTGGCATGTGGAACACGCCACGCTTGACCTTCTCCAGCAATTGCCGCAGGTTGTCATCATCGAAAGGCAGAGCCCCCTGTGGGTAAGCAGGACAGAAGGACGGCACTCATCATGGGGAGGTAGCATAAGAGGAGGGAAGGAAGAGAGGATGCGGGGAGCAGGGGGAGTGGAACAAGGTGAGGTGAGTGGGGCTCACCACCAGCAAGGCGAACAGGATCACACCACAGCTCCACACATCTGCCTTGCGGCCATCATACTTCTCGCCCTGTGGGAGGAGGGCAATGCCAGGTGTTGGCAATATGCAGAGTGGGGCTATCTAGTGTTGGGGGGTGGGTCTGAGAAAGGCAGCTGAGCTGTGACTCGCTCAGCAGTAGCAGGATAAGGGGCCCTTCCACCACAGGGACCCCAGTGGCTGCTTACCCGAATCACTTCCGGACAGGCATAGTGTGGGGATCTAAGGGCAAAACAGCAGGTCAGGGGGCAGGAGGCCAGGGTGTACAGCCCATATCTTTACACCCTCCCTGAGGCTTTTTCCACATGAGTCCTGCCCTAGGAAGCTCGCATGTGAGGTCCACAGGCCATGGCTGGGCTGGCCCCAGAAGGATGAATGACTTTGAGACCAAGTTCCCCAATCTAAATACCCTGTATGCTCTGGTAGAAGATGGAGGTCTGGAGCCTGGGGACTCAGACCTGCCTGCCCATCTATCCAGACCCAGGAGAGAAGACCCAGTAAAATGTTTCCCCAGATCCTACCACTGAAAGAAGATGCTGGTGCCAGACAGAGTCCCCACATGCCTACTATAAGGACAGGGGTCCTGTCTTCTGCCCCCAGTCCAGCTCTAGTGCTGGGAGAAAGTCCTTGGGCTTCCCACTAAAATGTCCTGTGGCTCTGCAGTCACAGGCCGGTCTCAAAACGTGTCCAGACTGGGCAGCAATGGCTGTGGTGCCTTGGGCCTGTGGGGCACCTGTCACTCACCCACAGCTGGTCTCCAGCAGGCTGTCTCCCACCTGCAGGGATGCCATGCCAAAGTCTGCGATACGAATGTTGTTTCTCTCATCCAGTAGCAGATTCTCTGGCTTCAAGTCTCTATGGCTGAGGAGTAAGACCCAGGTGAGCCTACATGCAGTCCTCCATGTGGCCCCCTTCCCCACTGCAACTCCCTGATAGGGACCGCTCCCCTTTCCAAACTTCTGAGATGTTCCCCTGTCCTCCATAGGGATGAAGCCTGAGTGGGCTCCTGGCAGCCTTTCAATGCCCATAGGAACCCCACTGCCCTCTTGAGATGCAGGCCTGACCCAGCCTGGCCTGGCTCGCACCATATGGAGTGACTGTGGCAGAAGTCCAGTGCAGAGATGATCTGCCGGAAGAACTTGCGGGCTTCCTTGGGGGTCAGCCGTCCCTTCTTCACCAGGTAGTCAAACAGCTCCCCCCCAGACACATGTTCTAGCACCAGGTATCTGCGGAATGGGGCAGGGGAACATCAGTGCCAGCATCATGGCCTGATACATAGCCCCTGCCTGCCCTCCTGCTATCTAGTCAAAGAAGCCTGGTGCAGGGCTCAGAGCAAGGCCTTAGGAGGGCCCATGCAGGATACCTGCTGTGGCTCCTGGTAGCTCTCATACCAGGCAGCTGGGTCCCAGTGAAGACCATATGGACCCCCTGGAGCTGGGCAGAGGGTTAGGTGTGGAAACGGCAGAACAGAGTGAGGCTGACCCAGCAGGGCCTGCCATCTCCTCCCTGCCCAGTTTGCATCAGTCCCTTAGAGTGGTTTCTGTGGGGGAAGTGAGGATAACTGGAGAATGACATCCCAGTCCCCTAGCATCTTATCTATATAACAGGACTCAAGAAGTGACCAAGAAGATGCAGGGGCTGTAGGGGATATGGTCTGATGGGGGAGGCAAGACCTCCGAGGGAGGGAACAAAGAGCAGCCAGTAACGTAGACGGGAGCTATCTCATGTGGTGAAAGGCATCAGTGGTACTGGACAGAAACCCAGGCTGGGATGGGGACCTTCCAAGACGTCAGCTGACCTGGGGTCCCAAGCCCTGTAAGCGAGCCTTGTGGGATCTAGTAGGAGTTGGGGAGGCAAAGCAGATTGTACAGCGGAGCCACACTGGGACCAGCATTGGAGGATACAGTGGCAGAGAGGCTCAGCACTGCCTCAGCAGAGCCCCTCCCCAGGTCCCTCCTGCCTGTCATGGAGGTCCGGGATTATCAACTGCCCAACCTCCAGACTTGTGGAGGCTGACACTCTGCTCACTCCCACCACACAGCCTCAAAAGGGCCAAAATAAGCTTTTCTTCCCTCAAGGTGCTTCCTGTCAGGTATTTGGTCAAACTCACCCTTCATGCAATGCCCAATCTGCATCACTCATGGCCCTGCTTGCTGGCCTCCTAATGACCCTGGCAAGCTACAGCTCCACCCTCTCCCCAGGCTGTTTTACAGGGTCTGGGCCTTTCAGGGCAGTGGGAGGTGGAGACTAATGTATCCCCACCCTATTCAGAAGGGGATAATATTAGGAGGGAACAAGCTCTACTAGCCCTAGACCCTGGATTCTCCTCCAGCGAAGCCCTTCCCATTGTTGTCCTCAAGTTAACAGTGTGGGGATCCCCAGGAGCACCAGCCACAGCCTGGTAATGAAACTGTTGCCACTGTGGCTAGGGCTGAGAGCCCCTCCTCCGCTGGATGGCAACACTGACACAGCCAGCTCTCCAAGCACAAGAGCAGCCTGGGCCTCTGCAGCCACCCACCCTGGCCTCCCCAGCTCTCCAGGCCCAGCAATACCTACAAATATTTTTTGTTTTCATAGACGTCATGCAGCTTCAGGACATGGGGATGCTCGATGAGCTTCAGGATGGCAATCTCTCGCTCCACCTGCAGAGAAACCATGTCACTGCCCTGCAGCCGACCACAGCCCACTCAACAGGCCCTGCAGTGGCCTACATGCATTGTTTCCCAGGGTTATAGCATTGCATTTGGGGCTGAGCTCTGGAGAGAAGCAATATCTGCAGCTTGGATCTTGCTATCCCAGGTGCCAGGATAAACGCCTTGGGCAGGGGTTCTGCATAAGCTGGCAGTGGGGACCAGGACAGAGCTGCAGGTGAGTGTGCTGTGTATATGTGTACGGGGCTGCTTGTGTGTACAGGGGATGTATGCACCTGCACATGCAGGGTATGGAACTGTGTGGCAGGCCCTGTGTAAGAGCACAGGTCCCTCGTCTATAGGCTCCACGATGTCACTGTTCTTAAAAGTGAAGGTAGAGTCTGTTTCTGAGCTTAAGCCTAGAACTCTGATGAGCATAGCTTTGCTCAGTCATCTTGGCCCCATATAGGTAACAGCAATGAGAAGCTATTAATAGGCACTAACCTCTCATAGGCCTCTCTATCCTCAGAGTCTTTAACCCCCATATGATCCAATGGGTATAATGTCCACAGTACCAAAACCCTGCCCTTTACCTCAGGACCCCTGTGCATTGGATATATCCATCCAGTGTGTCTCCAGTTCAAAACTGATCAGCCCACCAATGCCCCAAACCCTCCACTCTACCTAAGCTGTTGTCTTCTCTTACAACCGCCACCCATTCAAGTCTCTAAGCTTCTCCACATCGGGAGCTAGAGCTTATCCATCCCTCTTCAAGATAGCCTGGTCCTGGCAGGGGGGTCTCAGAGGCAAGGGGCACTTCCTCATTCTAATTAGAGGACTGATGTCCAGTCTGCTGCTCCAGTACCACCACTGTCCACTGTAGGACTGCTCTCTGGGATAACACAGTCAAGGCCAAGTGGAATCCTTCCTGAGGATGGAATAGCCCAGGAGCTAATCTGCTATTGCACCAGCAGCAATGGGTAGGATCCCATGGATTAGCAAGGACAGAGGCCACCCATGTCAGTCCCAGATACCTAGGCCCATCCCTCCAGGTGGTAACCCTTCTACCCCAGCCCACTGCCTCACCTTCATCAGCACCGACTCACTGAGCTTCTCACGGTTGACAATTTTGATGGCGACCTTCTGGCAGGTGACACAGTGGATTCCCAGCTTCACCAGGCCTGTAGGAGAGAGGCCATACTCTAATCCCAGCACCACTTCATCCCGACCTTAGATAGCAGGGACCACATCCCAACTCCTGACATGCCGTTTCCAAGTCTGTCAGATCCTGGCCATTAATCACCTTACCTTGCTCACTCATCAGAATGGATCCATGGGAAAGTGGCTTACTGCACTAAAACCAGATTCCTCCTGAAACCTGAGGTCTTCATGTGCCACTGTCACTGCCCCTGTCCCAGGTCACCAGAGCCCTTCCCCTGGGCCAAGCATATTTCCAGCTGAAGAGACAACATGCTCTGAGTCCAGAGACACTCTGACCTCTAACACAATCTTACTCAAGATGCTTCACCTGTAGACTGTGCCCCAGAAGCAAAGCTGGACCAAGATCTGCAGCCATGAGGCAGAGACTGCTCTTTCCAACTCAGGCTGTGTCCAGATACTGTCCCAACAGAAAGAGCCACAGCAGGACACATGGAAATAGTGCAGGGCAAAACCAGGGGAAAAGTAGTGTAGGGCTAGAGGAAGCATTTCTGATGTGAACAGCTGTCTCCCTTCTCCACAAAAGATTAATTTTCCAACCAATCCAAATCAAAGGGCTCTTGTAAATTGATAAGAAAGCACATATGCCATGCTCATAGACATGTGCATGTATATGCATGTGCATATCTCATGCACATGGCAGTAATATACAAATGGGCAAAAAATGAACACAAAGCAGATATATGTGTAGAAAGACAGTTCATGTTTTGAGTAAGGTCACAACAGAGATGTGGTTTCAGAATGCAGCTGGAGCTGGGGTCCTGGGTATCTAAATGCAGAGCTGAGTTTTCATGATGGGGAAAGCCCAGGCTGCCATGTGAGATCTCAGGCTAAGAGGTGGCCACAGTGGGACACCGTAGCCAAGGAAGTCATCTCTGAGTCACAGGCTCTGGTGCCTCCTGCTGGCTGTCTTTGATCCAGCACGAATGTCTGTGATTCACACTCTGATGGGGAGAAAGAGAACTAGCCAGGAGGGCAAAGGTACTGATCATCTGACATTATAATTCAGTCACGAATTGGGCTGTGGCACTGGCCAAGGCACTAAGGCGTGAGGTCACCTGCTCTTGGCCAGAAGGTACTTAAGACTTGGTAAAAACTATCCAGTCCCCCAAGAAGACTGCAGGTGCAAGAGAAATGAGGAAGGACAGTATGACAAGTGATAAAGCCTCCTGCCCCAGGATGAAGTACTCTTGCAAACCTAGAAGGCCCACTTGCGGAAGGACAAGGCCACAAGGGCAAAGCAGGAGATGAGCGTGACCCAGAAACAATGTGTCCCCTCAGGAGAGCTCAGAGGACAAAACATGGTTGTTCTGCCCACAGATGGGATAAAAGAAGACTGGCGGGGGCGGGGGGCTGGAGAAATGGCTCAGAGGGTAAGAGCATTGCCTGCTCTTCCAAAGGCCCTGAGTTCAATTCCCAGCAACCACATGGTGGCTCATAACCATCTGTAATGAGGTCTGGTGCCCTCTTCTGGCCTGCAGGCATACACGCAGAAAGAATATTGTATACATAATAAATAAATAAAAATATTTAAAAAAAAAAAAAGAAGACTGGCGGGGAGGACAGAGAATGGCAGGCTCCTCAAATGTGTTCCAGGCAGGTAGGCTGTCTTTCGGCTGACTGTATGTATCAGCATGCGAGGAAGAGGGAACAATGGAGTCTCAACAGGAAGAGTTCCATATCTCATCACAATTCAGCTAGCAAGCATACCTGGTAGCCATTTAACCACTAGTGCAGCTAAACCATGAGATGTCCACCAACTGGCCTCATGGGACATGCCGGGCCCTGGCAGATATGGCACTTGCCTCCTCTCTTAGTCCACACCACAGGCACACTCAACCTTATATGGCTATGTGCACACCCATACCTCCCCATAATGCACTTATGCATATCCAGTCACATACTACGTACATGCCCTTGTCCTCACTGTCACAAACAGGTGACATACACATTCAGCCTCCCATGTATGTGCACATACAGCAGAACCCTCACATGGATGGGCACACATACCCACACTCAACACATGTGTGCGCTCATACTCATGCAGCCCTCCAGCCATGAGAGACATGTAGAAAAATGTCGTCCTGCCTCAGGAACTGGGAGGACATGGTGCTAATATGGAGTGAGCATCAAATAGTAAGAGGACAATGCTGTCATCTCCATCCAGTGTGATTTCCAACGTCTGCCAAACACAGCTGTGTATCAGACACTGTCTCACACTTAGAGGTGGGGAAACTGAGGTTGTGGCATCTACCTAGCTGGCTTTTTAAAAGCCAAGAGGACTAGAACACGGTGTCCCTGAGCCCCAAGTTTTCTTTAGGGGCTTCCTGGGAATATGAGATTATGACCTCTGCTCAGGGAATGAGTGACCAACGAGTAGCTCTAGATGCAGTAGGCTAAGGAGTGGGCAAGCTGTCCTGGACCCCTCCCTTCTTTCTTCCACTTGCTTCCAGTATGCACAGAAAGCCCATTCCTCATCACTGTATATGGAATATTCCTACATAGCCTAGCATAGCAATGCTTCTCCTTGGTAAGGGTCTCCTGATACTTTAGGCCACCCCTTCCCTGTCTCATGAGGGAAAATGGGGTCCTGCCTCAGGAATAGGGGCAGATGGAGATCTTCTGGGGTTAGATGTCTGGGTTATGAGCAGTTCTGCTCCTTCCTGTTGCACTGAGTAGGGAGTATGCCTTCAGGAGCCTTGCTGTCTGGCCTGCAGCCTCAGGGACAGGCGGCTTTCTGGCGGGAAGCCCATGATCACCCCTCATTACCCAGCCCTCTAAGTTGCTGGGGCTTATTTTCCAATTGTGATTTTATCTCTAATTATTGTCTTCACACAGATGCAGCCTCACATAGAAAAGGAAAGTATACCATGTCACACATAATTACACGGGGCCCTTGCCAGGGTGGGGCTGAGCTAGAAGCAAGAGGAGCCACCAGCTCTAACCGTGCCCTGCTTCTGCAAGGGCAGCAGCAGATTCAAAGGGACTGGGGCTTCCAAACCTCTAAGGAGGGTCCCCAGGCTTCTTCCAGTGGTGACTCTGACATGAGTGTGAAGGGTCCAGGCCCCTCTAGAGCTACTCCCATCCACAGGCACCTGGGACTTCTGAGCCTGACTAGGGAATGGGGGAAATAGGCAGATATACAACTGTAGTCGGTCAACTCAGGCGTTAGGCAGGCCCTGACTGGGCCCCCAGTTGCCCAGGTAGCACATGGTGACTGGGTTCTGAGCAGTGACCCTCAGTAGAGGCAGAGTCTAAGGACTGTGGCAGAGTGAGGGCAACAGGATGGCCTTCCAAATATACCTGTCCTCTACCCAGCTACACAAAACAGGGGCAAGACACTACCATGTGGGTTGGGCATTTTCTAGGGGGTGTGGAGTAGCAGCTTGGCACTCTGCTTTGCTCTTTGGACTCAAATGACCCCAAAGAATTGCTCAGTTGGGGAGAGGAAGGAACAAGCCTAATTGTGGATCAAGCCAGGTGATCTTCAAGAATACCCCGGGGATAACTTTGGGTAGTGGAGATGGAAGAGGATGGGGCCACCATTTGGGAGGCAGATCTAGCTCCCTACAAACTTGCAGAAGTCCTTGGCTGATGGCCAAGTGCCTAAGGGCACTGGACACAGATTAAGATCCAATGCCTCTTCCCTCCTGCCCTGCCATTGCTGGCCTCTTATACAACATGATCCTTCTGAAGACCCCAACTGGGCTGAGCCCTGGGGACCATGAGTGCAAAGGTCAGAGAACACGTCTCACTGTCCAGTAACAGCTGCCAGAATAGTCTGCTGCTTGGTGATTTGGATATTGTACACTAGGTAGGTGACAATGTCAGCACTGGGGGGGGGACCTTCTGTAACTCCTAGCCCCTCAGGCCATAGCAATGGGGTTGGAGAGGTAGAGGTAGCAGTCTACAGATATTCTGTCCTGAGATAGACAGAACATCCATTTGGGTGGCAGCACCAGTCATGGGTGCAGCATGTGCCTGCATGTCTCATAACTGATGTCCTCCTCAAAGTGAGGAGCACAATATGTCTGCAGAGGTATCAAGTCAACTGGGAAAACACGGTCCATTTATAACCTACTGCCAGTTTCTTCCCTCAGTCTTTCCACACTGGGCCAGGGCATCTAGAAAATGCACATGGCTGCAACTTTCTGCTTGTTCCCCAGGTTCCAGTGCTACCTTCAAGACTATACCCCCCCACCCCGTGGTGGTTTGAGGAAAATAACCCCCAAAGGAGGTATATGACCCTGTTGGAGTAGATGTGGCCTTGTTGGAGGAAGTGTGTCACTATGGGGTTAGGCTTTGAGGTCTCATTTGCTCGAGCTACACGCAGTGAAACAAACCATTTCCTGTTGCCTATGCAAGATGCAGAACTCAGATACCTCCCCGGCACTATGAATGCCCGCTTGTCACCATGTGCCACCATGATGATAATGGACTGAACCTCTGAACTCTAAGTGAGCCTCTAATTAAATGTTTTCCTTTATAAGAGTTGCCATGGTCATGGTGTCTCTGCACAGCAATAGAAACCCTAACTAAGACAGAAATTGGTACCCAGGACTGGGGTGTTGCTGTGATTGGCCTGACCATGCTTTTGTTTGAAGGAATATGGACCTTGGCACCGTGGATTAGAAATGCAGATGAAAGCTTTAGGTGCTGCTTAATGGGCCATACTAATAGGAACACGGAAGACTGTGGTGTTGAGTGTGATTTGAACTGTGGGTGCCTGGATCAAGAGGTTTCAGAGAAGAAGAATGTTAGTATATGGCCTAGAAACCAGTCTTCGATACTTTGGTGAAGAACGTGGCTGCCTTCTGCCCATGTGTGAAGAGTCTGCCTGGGGCTAACATGAGCTGCATCCACTTGCACTTACATTTCTCAGGCCCTCAAGCTCCCAGTGCCCCCAGGGTCTCCTGGTGTACACAGACTCAACAGACCTTGGCTTAGGGTCAAACTCCCCAGC